ACAAAGAAATGAGCAATGAATGCCAACGAACTTGGAAGAACCATCTACTGCTTGAAAAGTATCAAGTCAACTATACGAAAAGATATTGCTGACTATTTTATATCACCAACATAATTGAACTATTTATTTATAACAAGTCACATCATCGCCTAATAACAAGACAAAATGAGGCATAAGAGCATCACTACAGCAGTCTAACAAGAATATTACTAGAATTAAGAAAACGAAAATTTCAAAAATCTCCCTGATGTTTCTAATAATATCACTTAGAACCCCCTTAAGTTTTCAAAATCTCACTTACCTCCATTGGATTGACTTTTTTTTTTTTGTAACATGTTAGCCCCTTTGAAATAAATGCAAGAAAGATAAAATTTTTGTTCCAGTACTACCCTTATGTTATCCTACTTATGAAGCTTACAACAACAATGAAAAAATGAAATAAGGTTAAAATGTAAAAAAAAAATGAAAATATGAGCGGTTATAAATGCAATAACGAGTAATTTTGAAAATATACAACAATTATTACCTAGTACAAGAAATGATGCTTTAACAAAAATAAAAGGATATTTCTAGATATATATTTGGTCATTAGATAATTTTTTGAATAATTTTATTAATTCTGACTTATTTATAAATTTTTTTTGTATAAGTAGGATTTATATTATAAATCACAAGTATGAAAAAATTATTTTAATTTTCAGTACAACCTAAATTTTATCATGTATTAAAATACATTTCTTAAAAAATTTTATTGACTTCCTTATAACTATCCTACAAAATTTTTTAAGGTATTAATTACCTATCAAATCATTCTAAGCGGTTAAGTTTGACTAAATTTAATTTATCCACATCATTTACTGTTCCACCACCTCGATAAAGAGAAATATGAACCAATATTGAATAGTGATTCGGTTGTTTTATTATCTACATTTTTTATTTAAAAATTCACTTTTTATTTTGACTTTTTGGTTAAATGATTATTAAGAATACAAGGGTAATGTGGTTAATTTGTGACCTTTAACAAGACATTTAGTCTTGTCAAGCTGATCGTGGAAATAAAAATGAGATTTTAAAATCGTCAGGGAGCTATGAGAAACCTCAGGGGTGGTTTCCAAAATTATCCCATTAAGAAATAGTCCACATGAACTAAATAACTAGTACTAAGAATCACAAAACGAAGGACAGAAATCTTAAAGACAAGATGAAAACATTTGAAAATTACTCTTGAATTGATGCTGATCCTTGGCTGGAAAATGCTTGTTGACTATGATAAGCAGCACTGGGAACCCTTTTCTGGACAAGCCCTGTAAGTACAGCTTCTCAGCTCCAAGTTCATCCTGAACTTCAGAATCCGGAATAAATCCTAATGGGACAAATGTAGTCCTCCATTTCCGCCACTGCACAAACATCTTTGCAGCTTTATCTGCATCCATTGATCTTGCAATCAAGAACCTCATCAATGTGGGGTCTCCATACTTCTGCAAAGATCAAAACTTTAACCCCCCAGGCCAAAAAGACAGGATCTTGCAGAAAAGGGATAAAGCTAAAACGGGAAACTCAGAAAAATTCAATTATTACCTCAGTGGAAGTACCAAGCTTTTCAATTGATTTCCTCATCTGGGACAGTGCAAGTTCTTGACTTCTCTCCATTTTCAGGCTTTTGGTAGTCAACTGAAAACTGGTCTTTGCTCTGCTCTGCAAACCGCAAATCGGTTCAACTGCCTAGCTATTACTAGTAGTAGTATATTTAAGAAGCGTTGGAGAGTTGGTTTGGGAGGGGGGGGGGGGGGGGGGGGGGGGGAAGGTGCCTGATTTTCAGGGCCTGCGTGGCTACATGAAAGTCTTAAATAAAATGTGACATAATGGAGAGAGGGAATGGAGGGCAGTCGCAGAAGTTGACATTAGCTGGTTTGTTGAATGGACGACGAATCAATTGAGCAACAGAACAAAGAGGAAGAGACGAACAAAAAAATAAATGTACAGGCTACCTCAGCAGATGTGCTACTCAAATGGCGGGACTTTGTGTACAATTCTGATGGCAACACACGCATGCCAAGTTTGATGGTCATATAAAATTCCTGTACCAAAGAAATTTGGAACTTTTATATTACTACTTGTTACTGTTTATATAAATAGAAAAAAATGTGTTGTAATGATGTAATGTGTATGCTCCAAGAGTTGGCTCGGATGATGGTAGGCTGATAGTTACGAATTGATAATCGAACCTTCTTTTATCTATTGTGTATACTTGGGGGCAGGGTGCACAGTCACAGAGGATTAGTCCACCGTAAATTGGGATACCTCCTATGTTTGACAAAAAAAATATAATATAATGTATATAAAATAAAAAATAATTTAGCATTAATAAACACTAATTCTGTCTTTTTAGCCACTCATTTCTTAACTTTATTAGTTTTCGCTACTTTTAAAAAAAGCTTGTTTTGGACACTTCAAAGTTTGCCTCAGAATAAAGGTTTGGCTTGCTTAAGGTGGATTGAATATGCTTAAATTTTTATGATAATGATAGAGGTCAAGCGATGTGTTCAATCATAGTAAAGCTGGCAAAGATTAAAAGTTATAAAATCACGTTATCAACTTTGCTAATCTCCTTGCAAAAAGTTATTCCAATTTTGTGTTTTCCTCAATGCCTAAACAGAAGAATCTTACCATTTATCAATCAAATGTCTAGTGCAATTACACCTACAATTTAACCTGCAATTACACCTACAATTTTGTTGGTGTTTGTGGCCAAAATTTTGGCTTTCAACTAAACTTGGTGCATGTGTTATACCTTCATGGACAGAAATGGCCAATAGTGACAACTGACAAGGATGACCCAGAAAAGTAGGGTAAACCCCTTTCTGTATCTTTATCTTGCTTTCATGGATCTCTTGTGTGGGACTCTGGGCCTGTTATGAGGCTGATTTCTTACCTCTGACATTTCTCGACAAATGTTGCTCATGTTTTTTCTTTCCGCCAGAAATGCTTGTCCAGTTTCAGATCTTTTGTCAACAGAGAGAATCAGTTCCCTAGATGCCACTTTAATTTCCTTGGAATCGTTTTTTTTTTGGAACCAAACAAGAATAGTGGAATCTAACGTTAGACATATCAATGGTTAAGATTTGTGTTGAATCTACCACGTCCAAACCCAAATTTAATAAATTTATTCATGCATAAATCCAGATTCTCGTGGGTTTGAAAGAGAAAATCTAAACCTAGACGTGTGAGGGTTTAAAAGTACTTTTATAACGTGCAAATAAATTAAAAATAAAAAATGATAAGTGTGAATTTCAGGGATAATATTATTATACAATTACCATTTTCAAGTGACAAAGTTAGCATTCAAGAATATTGCATCCAAGAATTATGAATTAAAAGTAAGAGATATGATTAACTAATTAGTTACATTTGCTTCAAGGTCTAGATTTGGGTCTAGACCTGAATTATATGATTATGCATGCAACCATGGATGTTTACAATTAAACTTTATTAAATCATTGGTAAAATGTGACTACACATAAATTTTTTTTCTTTTTTTCCAAAGTATGTAGTTTTTTTGTTCTTTTCTTTGTATACGTAATCCAAACAAGATGGTTAGAAACGATTTTCTCTACTTGCATTTTTCTATTAAAATCATTTCCTTTCTATTAACCTAAACATCGCCTGAGAGTTGTTATTTTTTATTACAAATGATGGAAATTTCTTAGTAATAACGTGAAATGATGAACCTTATAAGTGAAAGAAATAATTCAAAAAACATAACATATTTTAGTATATTTTATATTTTTTTAATCCATTGTGATTTTTTTTCCTTAGAGAGGCCATATTTTGTCTTGTTCAAGTCTTGTTCAAAAGCTTCCAAATTCGAATACTAAGAGTACACAATTCAATATGTAAATCTTGATTCCAAATTAACAAAATTTCCTCTCCAATTCTTCAATTTTGCTATTTTATACAGTTCAATGGAAAGTAGCCGTTGTTATTGAATTCTTCTGTGCTCATGCTAGTATTGTAATTTGGACAGCAAGCCCAACCGCATTGGCTCCCAATAATCCCGAAGATAGACCAGATGGCGGATGATTTCACCAAAACTTGAAATCAGCTAAAACACATTTTGCAAACAGAGCAAGCTCACGAGCTGCCCCTTTACAACAACTCCATCTGACTAAAACCAAGTTACAAGAACTTGAATTGGTTTGGCACAGAAAAATTAATACCATGAAAAGGAAGGGTATATCGCAAATGGGCACCCCTGTAGAGGCCATTTATCCATTCTCATGCAGGAACGAGTGCAAGGAAACTGAATCAAGAGCAGATCATTTTTCGGCCTCATTGTCACTCCAAAGATCAGAGTCATGTCTAACTCTTCTGGTTTCAGATCACCATTGTGCAAGTGCCAGCCCAACCATGGTTCAAAGTTGCGGTCGGGGCCTGGACCGTTCTACATTGGTCTCGGCATATCGGTCGCGATTTCGACGAGACGCGAATTTTTGAAATATTTAATATTCTAAAAATTGTAAAAAATATTATAAACAAAAATAATTAAAAATTTAGTAAAAATAATAAAAATTCGAGTTGACTTGGGATGACTCGGAGTAATTCGATGTAACTCGGCCGTTGCAACCCTTCATGGTGACGTCTCGGCGAGTTGAGTATCTCGGTATCGTTTCGTCACGGTATCGTATCGGCGAGGGCCGAGATGGTGACGACTCGGCCGAGTCTTCGAACCATGAGCCCAACTGTTGCTTGAGAAAAGGCTATGCCTGGACAAATTCTTCTTCCGCAACCAAATGGGATGTACTCAAAATCATCTCCTCTGAAATCAATTTTAGCATCAAGAAATCGCGAAGGATTAAATTTCTCAGGTTCACTCCAGTACTGGGGATCTCTGCCAATTCCCCATGCATTAACGATAATTCTTGCATTCTCTTGGCAATAAGAGTGGAACACTTGGGTGCAGCCTCAGGATGTCTTTAATGATTGCACGCAAGTATTGGAGCTCATGAAGGCGTTGATTCATCAACATTTCCTTTGTCATTGAAGATGCTTCTCGCCTCATTTTGTGCCCTTTTCATTATTTTTGGGTTTCTGATCGTTTGCGAAATTGCCCACTCCATGGCCGTTGCTGATGCCTCACTACCAGCAGCAAAAATGTCCTGAAACATAAACAGAACATCTCTTTTTTTATACCAGTGATTACATATTTGACTAGACCACAAGATTCGAAGATACATAAAAATTTTCATTCCTTGAAAATTGTATTTCAAGATTAATCCCGTCCATCTGATTTCAAATTAAACTCATTCTCACCATTACCTGCACCCTAGAAGCCAAAGTGTGACTGTAGGAGCCGCAGGCCCGTGCATTGACATCACACAAAGAAATTCTCTGCAAAACCTCTGGAAAAATACCCCTATAAATTATTCATCATTGAGATACTCGCTCCGTCCCGTAAAGATAGACTCACTTTCTTTTCGTGTCTCTTCCAAATTATAGGCTTATTCCCTTTTCTAAAGAGTAGTTAGTTTAGTATTTTACTAACATACCCGTATCTAATGTACATAGTTATTAGCAAATGCACCACTCCATTAGTTAATTATTCTACTTGGAATATTAAACACAACACTAATAACTAGATTTACCATTTATAGGAAATAGTAACATGTGCCACTTACTTTGAATGAATGATCTAATATTAATAAAGGGCATTTGAGGAAAGTAGAAACAAAAAATAATTCTTGTAATTACATTAACTAAATTTCTTAATTATTTGAATAGGCCTATTTTTATGAAACGGAGGGAGTAAGCATAGAAAAATAGTGGGAACCCAATCACTAAACAGATGTCATACTAGTGGACGGAATTCACACTTTTAGGCTAATTTCAACCCCCCCCCCCCCCCAACCAAAACAAAAAAGAACTCTTAGACACTTTCACGATTATTTAAATTCTAAAATATAAATAAAAATTCAAACAGTTTTATATTTGTCTGTAATGTTGCTGAAATCCCTAATCCTAGAAACAACAAAAAAATTTTGTGGACGAGCATGCAAAGCATAAAAAACTATTGAGTTTGAATTTTACTTACTAGGATAACTGCTTTGATGTTTGCATCAGCTAGTAGACGTTCAAAGTCACCAGATTTCTGAATATTGAGAAGAACATCAACGAGATCCTCCCTACCTCCTCCACCATCCTGTTTTCCTACTTCCACTTTCTGTTTATGGTCATCGAGAATATTGTCTCGAGCATTTTATCAGCCTGCTCGTGTCCTTTCTCCAATTTAAGCCTTAGAGGATTCATCACTTGAAGCAACTTAATAGAAGGGTACATATCCGCTAAGCTGAACCCTGACGCCAGACTACTGGTTTCATCTATAAGCTGTATAAACTTTTCTGTGTCTTTGTTTCTTTTTTCAAATGCTGCGCGACTCGTGATGCTACAGGTGAGATTGAAAATGCTTCTGCTTAAGTTGAAAATCGATCCCTTTTGTGAATAAACCAAATTAATGAGATTGAAGACCTCATCTTCTCTAATCGATTTGAAAGTTTGCACGCGCTGTGGACTGAACTGAGAAGTTCCATGTTGCAGATTTTTCGTAATTCTTTCCAGTATTTGCCATAGGGAGAGAACATAATGTCACTGAAATTATAAGAAGTAACCTTGAATGCCAGACGTGTTTTGAAAATTTCTTTGGCCATTTCAGGTGAAGTGACAACAATGGTTGAAATTTCACCAAACTTAAGGTGCATCAATGGTCCATATTTCTTTGCTTAGTCTCTGAGCAAGTGATGGATTGGGGAGCCAAAAAGTCGATGCAATGTTTGACTTCCTATGATAGGCAGTGGTTTAGGCCCCCGGGGAAGCCTCAATCTTGGGTTTTTCCCCGAGGGTCTTTCGAGGACTTTGACTACCGTGAAATAGAAGACAAGGAAAGAAGTGAGGAAGAGAATGAAAGCTATTGAAGATTGAAGCAACAAAAGTGCAATTTGAGTGATCGATGTTTGCTTGGTGAAGTACTAGTTTTATAGATGATGACACATTTAAAAATCACTTATTAATTTAGTATCGCTAGAAATTATCAATGTTTTAAAAGGTGAAAACGTTGGACGGAGCACTTTACGTCTGTCCAAGTGGGACGAAAGCCCTGAGGCGTGGGATGTAAGTCTCACAAATTTTGATTTTTTAAATATATAAAAAAATGTAAAATAATACTACAAATTTATAATATTCATACATATATGTGTGTATATATGTTACTAATAAATATAAAAAAATTGATAAAATTAAGAAAGTTTCAAAAATATTTTTGTTGTCTAACAAGTAAAATCACAACATAATTCTAACTCATACATTAGCCATCTAGAATCATGTTAATAAAAAATAGTTAGATTTTGGAATCAAAAGAAAAGGGAAAAAAATTATGAAACAAAGTCATGGATGCTTTTTTTTTTATCCTTCTTTTGGTAAGTGAGAAAATTTAAATTCAAAATCTCTTATTTACAATCCTTCCCATCTTATAATCCAATCTGGCCCGTTTGGATTGCATTTTTCGTCATTTTTCATGAAAAAATTACTGTAACGATTTGATGTATGTGAGGAAAAAAGGTGATAGGGAAATGTGATTACGAAAACGACGTAATTTTTCAGCGGAAAACAGTAATCCAAACAAGGCCATTAATCTGACTCTTCCCTGGTTGAGACTGGAGACATGAGATAAGTTAGAAGTCCTTTTTCAACATTTTATTTGGCAAGTCTTTTTTCAACTTGCCACAAAAAAAGTCATACTGGGCCCATTTTTTAGCAAACTAATACGGAAATGTTGTTGTTAACAAATTATTCTTTCTTTCACAGCTGAGTACGATTGTTTGCAGATTCCACACTTCTTTCTGGGATGATTTGTTTTTTTTTTTATTTTTTTTATTTTTTTAACCAATCATCACATATCTACATCTACTGCTGACCAACAGGGAGGGGACGGATCCAATTGAATCATCAAAAATTCAAAAAAAACTGAACCGCCACCAAACCCATCCTAAGATTATTTGATTTTTTTTTTTTTTGATCAATCATCACATATCTATAACTATTACAAATCTATAAAGGCACTGCACTTGGGCATTTTTTTGGCCCCCCTATTTTTTTCTGGGGTAATTAATTGTATGAATTTCCTCTTAATTATCACTGATTCATGCTTTACTCTCTTGAACATTTTTTTTAAATATTTAACCACCTTTATGACATATTTGGACAAAACTGTCTTTGCATTCGGAAAATGTTACTGATAATCTTTTTTTTTTTTTTGGGAGAGGGGGGGGGGGGGGTTGGGTTTGGTTTAGGTAGAGTACCATTTTATTGATACAGACCAAAACAGATTACAATGAGAAGTTCTGAACTTGGCAGAAGCCAAACCAGCAACACTGTCCAAAACAAACAACTGCTACTCTCATCCATTTTAAGTAGACAAACAGAATACACTCACGCTAAGAGGATACGGATCCAAATTTCATGCTTCATTTGTCAATAAGTATTCGTATTCTTCATTAAATTTACAACCATTCCTTTTTAGGCAGTTGCAATTAAAATGAAAAGTAAGGATATTTGGTCTTTTAATTTTTAATCTTCTTTTTTTCCCTTTTCCCCCTCTTGAATTTTCCCATTCAATCTTTTACTACAATATTGACCTTCTTTCTTTCCTATTTAAATATCTGCAGCATAACACAACTGCCTCAATTAGATATGAGAAAAGCATAGTTTCAATTGCACAACCAATACTCAATTTTCTAACTCTATTAACAAGTAATCAATAGACTAGCAGCATTCCAGCTAAGCCATCCACAAGCAACCGTAGCAAATTACTTTGGTTATTCTAGCTATGGATTGCATTCTGAGATATGTTCATAGAACCATAAAATATGATGTCCAACTCCTTATATAGGGTTACCTTTCCACAAAATGCATCCCATTTTAGGATAAAACATATGGGCACCACAATCAAGTTTATGCCAGGTAACAACAGAATATTTTGACCATTATGCAGCTTGCTCACACTACTATACAATAAGTGAACAATTCTGAATCTCCAATGTGACCAATAAGGCAATAACTACACAATTATGTCGGCTAGGTGCCTTGAAGATGAATGATTCCATACATAATTTAAATTTTTGACTTAAAAAACTTATTGCTAGAAACTAAAAAAAAAAAAAAAAAAAAAAAGCTGGTAACAATGCCTGATTGTATGTTGATACTGTCTAATCATCACTACCAAGACAAGTTCTAGAATAAATACAAAGAGCTGAATGAATGTACCACTTTCTACTCAAATTTTATACAAGCATTAAATTTTCAGAACCTGAAACTGAATCCTCCGGACAAATGCTGACATGAATAGTTGTAGGCACTCAAGGAACACAGATCCTCATGTTCACGTTCGGAACCGAACAACTCTGCATCATGGTAAATTAGAGCCGCCCAGTTTCTTATCAACGCACTCCACCAGCCTAAAAAGATGCACCAACAGAAAATCTAAGATAGTTATTCAATTTAAGAGCCAAAACTGGTGCATCTGTATTCCTAGATCCTGACTGAACTGCAAATTAGTTCAGACATCCACCCCAAGTGAGAAACAATGACTTCATTGCTTTGAGAAAGTAACTCAAACGACTTAAAACTTCAGAAATATACAAGACATATTACTGTAAAAGATACTAAAAATTCAAAAGCCTCAGAAAATATAAGATTGTAAGCATTTCTTTGCCAAAACCCAGTAGCAGATGTAAGCACATTCATGCACGCACGTCTAAAAACTTTACCTAATCTGAGAAGACACTCATAACATCAGCAGGGGAAAGACGCCGTAACATGGGAGCTCCCACTTTAGCATTTTCAACAAGGTTCATGTTCGGCTCCTGCTTCACATTGTTTGCATTGTTCTCTCCATACATCTTTTCTTGATTCAGGTTACCAACTAGCCAACCAGCTTCATCCACAGCAAAACGACTAGGAATTGATGTCCCTCTTCCAACAAAGGCAGTACTCTTAAGCATTCCATGCTCAAACATTTGCCCAGAAGTATCATAAGAGTCTTGCAGAGCTGACATATTAGGAACAATGGCTGACAACTGTCTGGCTGGGCCAAATCTTGAGGCTGAATTCTGAACATGAATGCCAACACCATTATCTGCATTGACAGATCCAGATGACAAGGTTGGAGAGATTGAACCAGCACCAGATAGCCCACCAAGCATGCTTGCAGGTTTAATTTCCGCATCCCCCATCCTCCCAGAGTTCAATGAAGAAATATTTGATTGAGGCGACAGAATGCTGTAATCTATGATGGAAGTTCCACTAAGGCTGCAACTTTGATTGACAGAAGCAAGGCCATTTCCTGTGTGGAAGTTGGCTGAAGAATGGGAGGGAACCACAAGACAAGAAGGCTGTACATTAATTAAACGACTAGGCTCTTGAAGTGTAGAATGTTTCTGTGGTTGTTCTTGCTGCTGTCTATGCTGTTGTTGCTGACGCTGCATTACGCTCAACATCACATTACCATTCTGAGCGGTTAAACCAGCAAAGCTATCACAATTACCCACGTTAACGAGGTTTTTTGATGGCCAGGCTCCAGGTCCAGAATGAGTATTATCAGCAGAAGTAACAGTTTGAGAAAATTGCTTGGACATGTTGGATGGGCATTTCATCAATGGCTGGCCGTAAGCAACATTCTGATCAAGAGCTATGCACTTGGATACTGGCAGAGATGCTTGTAGTAAATTTGTTTGGTCCATTCCAGGCAATACCAGGTTACCTGTTGGTCGATTTAAAAACTCGGCATGCAATGCTGCCAAAGTTTGTGGTGGAATATTACCAGAGGCAGCCAATGCTTGAATATCAAACCTTCCCAGTGAACCTACTTTTGGATTTGGCTCAAGCGCCCCACAAAAGGAACTCGGAAGGCCAGCCTGCTGTTGGGCTACTCCACTTAACCTTTTTAAATACAGTCTAAATTTCTGCAATACAGATTATGAAAACGCTTCAAGGATTCATATATCGAAAGCTAAAGTTATGACAAGCAACGGATCAAGAATTCTACCTGATGGATAGTATTATCAGGTCATGGAAAATGACATGATAACCACCAGTAGCTGAGGACATGCAACCCAGATATTTGCAATCAAGTTGTACATGATAACTACAATGCATGCCATGGCACGTATGCAGACTTTCATCTCAAACTTGACACAATAAATACCATAAGCATGCACGATTCTTTATCTAAAGGTGCAAGGTGAAAAGGATAACTGATTAAGACACTTAACTTGTGTTAATGATGCATTTCAAATCACATGCATACACAAGGAGAACAACAAACAGAATCAAGGTGTGCAACTAATTGGAAACCGAACTAACTATGACGCGTTCTTAAAATGTTTATAATCAATAAATAATAAAGACTAGAATCTGTTTTATAATCAATAAATAATAGAGACTAGAATCTGTTTTTAGCTTATCACCTTAGCTTTTTGGCCCTCCTTTAGCATAATTTAAGATAAAAGAAGTAGATTATGAGAAGCAACCCAAGTTACCTTTGCAAGTGCCTTTTGGCATTTGAGTTTAAAAGCAAATACATGCTTTCAACATTTTTCACATCCTTTCTAATATTCACTTTCATTTACACAGATATGAAGCATATGAAAAGGAC